TTTCAAATTATTTTTTCAATTAATTGAATTCAATTAATTGAAGAAAAGAGAATAGTATTTATATATTATGAATTCTCTTATCCCATTCAGAAGGACATCATTTCATAATTATCTATGACTGTTTAGGTCTCTAGTATGACTGACTACTTAATCAAATGTGGAGGAAAATGGGATAAATGGATGATACTACTGGAAGAATTCCTCTTTGGATAATAGGTACTGTAGCTGGTATTGTTGTGATCAGTTTAATTGGTATTTTCTTTTATGGTTCATATTCCGGATTGGGATCATCCCTGTAATAATCGGATGAATTTAGTTTTCGAAATGAAAGCATAAGAACTCAACGGGGATCCACTCTTTCTTTGATGAATTCGAAGGGGTCCCATTGAGTTCTTCATAATCAGAATATTTTTGTCAGTGAGTCAATAGATAACTTTATTGTATGTTTCAAAAAATTCAATTTCCTTTTTTTAGGATCTTATGTGTAAGAATAGGAAACTATATACTATATTTAATACTCTATTAAACATAAAAAAGATTCTGTAGAACCAAACCTTTTTGATACTAACAGAATCTTACTAGAAATATATTTCTAATATAGACTCATGATTAAATTCTTTTTTTGAAGTGAATTAAGAAAGTTGTATTTGCTGAATTCAATTCCCGGTCTTTTTTGTTTGTCCATTCCTTAACTACGTATCGATTTCGACATAAACAAGAAGGAATTGGACTCTAGGAAAAGACAAATTATCCATGCTAGAATCCTGTTTTCCCTTTCTACTTTACTTAATATTATCTACCTACCTATTTTTTTAGGTTTAGTATCGAGTCGAATTTAATTCTATTACAATATAAATTCTAATATTTCTATTCTAGGACATGAAAATGTGAAAACAGCAACATAATCAGCGACATAATCATATGGTTCAAATTAATTGTGCAGTTGAAAAAAAAAACCAAGAACCAAAGGTCTTTACACATAAATTATCAACAAAAATGGAGTTCTTTTTACCATCTTAATATGTTGATAAATTGACATTCCTAAAAATTCATTTCAGACAATTGCACCTTCTCAAATTGTTTCTTTTTAAGAACCAAAAAAATTTGTGTCAAAATAATAGATGCCAAGAAGAGCAAGAGACCTTGGACACGTAACAGATCTTGAAGCACTATTTCTGCATCCCCCTGACCAAATCCACCCACATTAGGATTACTCGTTAACGGTTGATCAAGTTTGATAGATTCACCCTTTGAAACAAGAAGTTCTGGTCCTGGCGGTATAATATCAATCACTTCATGTCCATCTGATGCATCTACTATCGTTATTTCGTATCCACCTTTTTCTTTTTGTATTATTTTGTTTACTACACCCGTTGCTGTAGCATTATAAACATTATTATTACTCTTGCTTTCGTCGGGATAAATCTGACCCCTTCCCCTGTTCCCGCCTACGTATATAGGATATTTTAAGAAGTAAACATCTCTCTTAGTAGCGGGATCTGGAGAAAGAATAGGAAAGGTAATTTCACTATATTTTTTTCCAGGAATGGGACCTATCACAAGAATTTTTTTTTTTGGGGACGATAGCTTTGAAAAGACAAATTACCTATCTTTTCTTTAATCTCGGGCGAAAGACGATAAGAAGGGGCCAATTCCAAACCCTCTGGTAAAATAAGAACAACTCCCACATTCAAAGCCCCCTTTTTACCATTAGCAAGAACTTGTTTCACTTGCATATCCTAAGGAATTCGAACAACTGCTTCAAATACTGTATCTGGAAGTATCGCTTGTGGAACCTCAATATCTACGGGCTTATTAGCTAAATGGCAATTAGCACATATAATTCGGCCGGTAGCTTCTCGAGGATTTTCATAACCTTGTTGGGCAAAAATAGGATATACATTTGAAATGGGTGCTCGAGTTATTATATATATCATGAGCAATACGGAAATGGATCGGGTAATCTCTTTCTTTATCCAAGAAAAAGTATTTCTAGTTTGCATGGTCCAATCATTGATCCTGAAAATTTCTACAATAAGATTAGATAGGTTACTGCCACAGTTCCCTATCAATGATTCTTCTATTTACTCCAATTTTTTCCTATAATATAGGAAGAATACGAGTAAAATGAAAACGAATAAGTTCAATTTAAAATGTTTAGCTTTTCTATACAAAAAAAAAATTAGAATTGGATCAGTGGGTCGTTTTTTCATTCCTTCATTGAAAGATAAATGACTACAAGCGATGGAGATACACGATTTAAATAACGGAAAATAGAGTATTTAAAAATAGTATCTAAAATGACTGGAAAAATTGAAACAAGACAAGATAGAATCTGATCATTCGGAGTAAATCCAAAATCTTTATAGACAGACCCAATCATTAGTTCCCAACCCTGAGCCAAATGGAATCCTATACAAAAATCAGTTAATAAAAGAATAGAAAAACCTTTTATTGTGTCACTTAAGTTATATAGAAATTCTTGAACCCAAGAGTTAAGAATAACGAGTTCTTGATTACCTCGAATAAAATAACCACTTAGAATAAGGAAACAGATTATATTTGTACCTAAATGCAAAATCGTATGGATACAATCTAGGTTGTTCGTCTCGATCAATTGGCTGGTCTCTTTGTAGATTTCGATACGAAGGTTTTGTAAACGTGTTTCCGGGTATTCCTTTAGCATTTCATCCAAGAGGAACAGTTCCTCGAACTCTAGCAATTTCTTTAAAATACTTTTTTCTTCAATAGTATTCAAGACAATTTTGGATTCTTTCATATTCCACCATTAGTAATCCAAGATTCCAGACTTTTCTGAAATGTAAAAGAGATGCACCAGGGAAAAAAGACTATAGATGTAAGACATAGAAGGGGAATGCATGCTTTCTTTTTTGCCATTTTTCGTCTTTAATGAACTCAGTTTCATCTCATTTTTCAACTATATATAATAATAATCTTTCTGTCAAGCATAAGTTCCATTACAAGTAAATACAAGTAATAGAGCTTAGCCTAGAATATATCAATTTATAATTTTTTCATAGAAATTGAGAAGCTATTCTTTTTATTTGTAATCCGGGGGTTAGTTTCTTTTTCCTTCAATTTGAAAAAAGAATCCAAAAGAGTACAGAAATCAAATAAGAAAACGAAATAAGCCATTGCCAATTTGAATGAAGAAGAAAAAAAGTGTTTCAAAAGCTATGAATTAAAAATGAAATTGTTTGGATACAACGATTTCCATTGGTATACTCAAGAATATGGAACGATTTCCATTAGTACACTCAAGAATCTTGACAAGTCCCAAGCTTTTTGTACAACGTTGCATGGAGTCCTATCATCAACAGGAGTCAAGGGAATGGTCCCCTATTCTCTAGTTTGCATATAAAGGACACCACTACTAGGTTCTGGGTTAGCTTGTAGTATGAGGGACTGAATATCTTCCATACGAACTCGGAGAAAAATACGACGATATGTTCCAGGAAATCCGTAACGAAAAAAACATACCCTTCGATTTTTTTTATCGAAAAAATTATAGCCACTCCCCACATTCCAAAAAATTAGAAGCCACCAATGTAAACTTAGAAAGAGACCCGCAATTCCATAGAAAGTCAGCGTGACTCTTTGTGTCAAAAAAGGAATGACAAATTCGGACGAAATGAAAGAGAAAAAATCCCTCCCATAATAACTGGAAACTGAAATATATAAAACTCCTAATCAACCTAAAAGAGTGAAAGACGCCCAAAATAAATTGATAATTTTTCGGGACCCCGGTACAATGTCAAGCCATGCGTCTTGTGAACGACAACCAAGTTTTTCTGACCCCTAACTAATGAATTTTGGAACATGAACCAATAAAGCAGACATTACAATTAATACAAGGCCCACTAAAAACACATAAACATTTATCATAAAATGGGTGCCTCAATTTCATATTTGTACCTGTTCTTTTTTCTTGATTGTTAGATTAATATTTATGTTGTTATATGAATACCTCCTTATCTTTTTCTATTGAAGGCAATAGTTATTCAAAAATGGAATAAAAGAACAAATCCAAACTAAAAAATTGAACCCTATTTTCAAAAATATATGAAACTTGTGGTATCTAAAAAATCTTGTTTTTTTGAACATGAAGAAATAAAGAAGCCATTGCAACTGCCGGAAATACTAGGCCTACTAAAGGAACAAAAAGGGATGGTAAGTTTATCATAAAATGGGGTACCTCAATTTCATATTTGTACCTGTTCTTTTTTGTTGATTGTTAGATTAATATTTGGATCCTTCTTATATTGGAATAAAGAAAGTCTATAATCACTAGAATTCATATAGACTTATACTAAGTCTATTTTTTAAATTCTACTATGTATATATATATATATATATATATATATATATATATATATATATATATATATATATATATATATATATATATATATATATATATATATATATATATATATATATATATATATATATATATATATATATATATATATATATATATATATATATATATATATATATATATATATATATATATATATATATATATATATATATATATATATATATATATATATATATATATATATATATATATATATATATATATATATATATATATATATATATATATATATATATATATATATATATATATATATATATATATGGAGTATAAAAGAGAATAAACCCATAAGAAAAAAATGGAATAAGATTTATTAAGAATCAAAATCGTTAATTTTAATAATTTGAATATTAAATTAAATATAAGGAATGTCGAACGAAATAACTAGATTTATTTTGCTGTCTATTTCTACAAGAAATATGTCCATGATAATTAATCTTTATTTTTTATTCTTATCTTATTACTTTACTCTTGTGTGTTCTCATTTTCTTTTTATATCATTTTTATATAATAATAAGATTTCTTTATGATATTCATTTTATGATATCAATGAAAAGTTAAAAATTGAAAAACATAAATAAAATGATAGTCTGCATTAGTTTTCATTTTCAATCCAAGGAAAGCAACCATGGAATTCAAATAACTCACTTAAAAAGTCCTTTAAAGAATCACGTGATACGATTGAATCCAATAAGCCTTTTTCGAAAAAAACTTCAGCCGATTGGGAACCTTCAGGCACTTCCTTATTCAACGTTTGTTCAATTACTCTTTTACCCACAAATGCAAGGTAAGCTTTTGGTTCAGCAATAATGATATCCCCCAACATCCCAAAACTAGTTGTTACCCCACCAGTACTAGGCGATGTAAGTATCGCTACATAGAGTAACTTTTAATTGATTTGATAATTATATAAAGCAGAAGATATTTTAGCCATTTACATTAAGCTCAAACTTCCTTCTTGCATACGCGCTCCTCCGGACGCACATACTATAATAAGAGGTAAAAGTTGATTGGTAGCATATTCGATCAACCGAGTTATTTTCTCACCCACTACGGATCCCATACTACCCCCCAGAAACTGAAAATCCATAATACCTATCTATTGCTACAGGAATACCATTTAGTTGACACGTGCCTGTTTGAACCACCTCCAGTAATCTTGTACTTTCTTGAAAAAAAATCAAGACGATCTATATAAGGTTCGTCTTACGTAGAAGATTCGTATTCGTCTTCCGTAGAAGGTTCATCTTCCGGAGAAGATTCGTATTCATCTTCCGTAGAAGGTTCGTCTTCTGGAGAAGATTCGTCTTTCGTATAAGGTTTGTCTTCCGTCGAAGGTTCGTTAGAAGGTTTGTCTTCCGTAGAAGGTTCGTATTCGTCTTCCGTAGAAGATTTGTATTCGTCTTCCGTTGAAGGTTCGTCTTCTGTATAAGGTTTGTCCCATTCAATGGGATCCAGAGAAAACATGTCTTCAGGATTCCAAGTACCTGGATCAATCGAAAGTTCGATTCTATCTGAATTGCTCATTTTCAAATGATCTCCACAGTGTTTGCAAATATTCATTTTGGATTTAAAAAATTTCTTATAATTTAATCCAAAGCAACTTTCACATTGAACCCATAAATGCTTAAATTGTTGAGTATAAGAAGTATCTTTTGGATCATCAGGATATTGTATTGGAGTAAATTTACTATTATTTGTATCATTAGAATATTCTATTGGAGTAAAATCACTATCATTTGTATCATTAGAATTTTCTATTGGAGTAAAATCACTATCATTTGTATCATTAGAATTTTCTATTGGAGTAAAATCACTATCATTTGTATCATTAGAATTTTCTATTTGATACAAATCATTATCATTTGTATCATTAGAATTTTCTATTTGATACAAATCACTATCATTTGTATCATCAGAATTTTCTATTTGATACAAATCACTATCATTTGTATCATCGGAAATGTAACTATTCAAGTCACTGATATTGGCATTGTAGTTGTCACTATCATCTAAAATGTAACTAGCAATACAGATTTGATAACAAAGATAACTCTCAATCGAACTATTAATGTTCTTAATCCAATTACATTGAGTATCATCTATGTAATTAGGATCATTACTCTTAGAGACATTTGTCAAATAGCTATAATTTTGATAACTAGCAAAAAAACTTTCTGGTTCATTAAAAAAAGAATGATTATGGTCAATCTCCAAAATTTGATTTTCAATAGCAAAATCTATGGAATAACTATTCCTATTACTATCCATAACTAAAAAAGTTTTATCAGATAGGAAATTCTGTATGTTGCTGACATCTACTAAATAATCACCATGGCTGTGACTATCATTTTCACTATTGTTCTTCCAACTATGAATGTCATTATCCATATCAGTTAAAATAGATGGGTCATCAGTTAAAATAGATGGGTCTTCATTTACACCATTATTTTCAATAGGATCAAAACTATCTATTGATTTACTTAAACCACACCTATATTCTAAATCCCTATTAAACAACATTGAATTGAACCACTTTCTTTCCATAAATCTGTTTTCCTCTATTTCATGAAAATACAATAGATGAATAGTCGTTCGATGATCATCTTTTATCGACTTAAGTATAGAAATAGAATTGCTAGGATTAATAACTTATAATAATAATGAGCGAAGAAGTATTGAAAAAATGTATCATTTATATTTGAATATCAAATCAATAACTATTTCTAATATAAAAATAAATGAATAGAATAAAAACAAAGAAGTAAAAAGGCTCATTTGGTCTACGGTATTTATGCACCAAATTAGTTTATTTCTTGACTTTTTCCTAATATGAGGTAGGTTGAGCACCGAATTTTGGAATAACAGGAATATTAGAATGGGTTATTTAGTGGATAAAAAAAGGACTTTCCGAAGATAACCTCCCTCTCTTCGGGATCGAACATGAATTTCAACGATTCGATAAATGGATCGTTCGAATTCATATAGATGAACAATATATCCCCTAGAAACGTATAATAAGTTTTTTCTTCGTATGGCTCAATTCAAAATTATGTCTATAATTATGATGTAAAATAGATCACTCAAATCAAAAAATCGAGGATCCCTATTTCTAGATACTAGAAACTAGATAGTATAAAGAAAATAGGGCATGTAAGAATCCGCAACTAATATAGTCACATTTTTCAAGTCCCACGCTGCTTTTTACTACATCGTTTCAAACGAGGTTTTACCATAACATTATTTTTTAGTTTCAATCTGGTATGTAATTGATTCCATTTTGAAATCGTGCATAGTCATTGACTCAATCAATAGATAATAATATATACTTTTCACTTCTAGGTTTTAGGTTTTCTGACTATACAATTTTATTTCTAAAGTCAAGAAGTAGAAATTAAGTCAATATTCTATTTTCATGGTTTGTAAATTAAATCTAAAAAATAAATTTCTAAAAAAAAAGGAATCTTTATTCGGATATACAATTTGTATTGAAATAGGTATATATCTTGAATAGATATGATCTGGGACGGAAGGATTCGAACCTCCAAATAACGGGACCAAAACCCGCGCTGCCTTACCGCTTGGCCATGCCCCATTTTGAATCGACATTAATAAATAGTATTATGAGTTATTCATCAATTACACTTCAAAATTTATTCTATAGAATAAATTGTTGCTAGAATTTTGATATGTATCGATATCGAATTAAACGAAATTTATTGATCATTCCATAGAATTCAATTAAGATATTGTTTGAACTTATTCAGTTCAAATAAAAAAAAGTGGGGGTCTGATCTTAGTTGATTCATCTTTTTTTTCTTCTTCGTTTTATTACTAATTTAGTAATCTTCATATCTATAAATAGGAATTCAATATTTTATATTCTATCCTTTTTTTTATTTTCAAATTATTCATTTTCTATTCTATATATTATCTATTCTATATAAATAAAATCAAAAAATTTTGATTTTATATTTCATTGTTAATATAAAAGTATAATACAAAAATGGATAATAATAATAATAATAATAATAAATTATATAATAAATCATATCATATATAGAATAAATCATCTATATAATAATATAAAAAAATAAAATCAAAATTAGAATTAAAAACAAAAGAAAAAAGACAATTCCTTTTCTTAAAGAAAAACATTTTTGTTATGCTTAATATCTTTAACTCCGTCTGTATTTGTATTCACTCTGCCCTTTATTTAAGTAGTTTTTTCTGGGGGAAATTACCAGAAGCTTACTCTTTTTTTAATCCAATTGTAGATTTTATGCCAGTAATACCCTTACTCTTTTTTTAATCCAATTGTAGATTTTATGCCAGTAATACCCTTACTCTTTTTTCTCTTAGCTTTTGTTTGGCAAGCTGCTGTAAGTTTTCGATAAGATCTTTAATTTGAATAATGTCCGGAAAAAAAGTCAAAATTTTTTAGAAAACTCAAATTTTAACATTTTTAAAAATAAGATAAGTCTTACAGTGTGAATCCGTGATTATAAATCTTGAAATTGTTGGATAGACAATAAAAATATGGATCATCTCATCATTTCCTTTTTTTCCATTCAAAAATAAAAATAATATTATTCTATTATTGGATTTGAGTCTACCACCAATACGTGGATCTTGTGGATATGAAAGAAAATTGAATTGTTGGTAATGGTAAAACAAAGGCTCAACTCTTACTACAAATCCATTTTTTTTAGTTTTTTTGAAATAACTTCATTTCTTATAAACTGAGTATCAAAGGAAACATAATATGAAATACAAGAGAATCTATTCTCTTTCTCTGTTGTTTTTTTTAATTATCTTGAAGATTTTGTAATGCTTACTCTAAAACTATTTATTTACACAATAGTGATATTCTTTGTTTATCTTTTCATCTTCGGATTCCTATCTAATGATCCAGGACGTAATCCTGGATGTGAGGAATAAGAAAATCTTTTTTCTTTTCCGTACTTATGCTGGATTTTTAAATATTTTTCGTTTTTCTATCTATTTTACATCTTTAACTAGTAAAAAATGAAACAAACAGGGAATAAAAAAAAAAAGAAATTCCAGAAGTTCAAAAGAAAAAATGCCAAATCATCAATAAACGGAAAGAGAGGGATTCGAGCCCTCGGTACAAAAATTCGTACAACGGATTAGCAATTCGACGCTTTAGTCCACTCACCCATCTCTCCCCAATTCAAAAAATTGAATTATTATGCTTATGATACCTCGGATAAACAAAAAGAACAAAAAGTAGGGCTCAAAAAAGCCTTCTATATATCTTATTTGATATTGATCGTCATTTGATATATCTTATCTATCTATCTTTTTTCTATTTGATTATCATTTTATTTAATTACTATTCATAATTCTACATTAACTCATAAATATTAGTTATATTTTCTTATACCTATACTAAAGTTATATTCTATATATACTCAATATAAAATTTTTTCTTTTCTTTTTTTTTTTAGTTTGTTTTTTTTATCCAACCAGAGTCCAGCTAGGTACTGGCACACATCTTTTTTCCCATGAATCACAATGATTTATTTTTCTGTATCAGATTTGAAAGAAACTTGTAATTAAGGAAAACATTTTAATACGATCAAACAAAAATAAAAATAACTTTTTGATCGTATATCATACGAATTAATCAGTTAACGTATCTAAAAAAAGAAATAGAACTATGGATTCTTGCACAATGCATTTTTGTCTTATGAATTTCGTTTAGTAATTTTTTCGAGATCTATCTCTCAAAATACCTTCAACAAAATCCAAAAATGAGATTCACCCCCTTTTCTAAATTTCATTAGGGGGGGTCTTTACGAAACATGTGAACACTGTATTTATCATAAAATTCTGCACCTATTTCATAATTAGGACTGATTCCCCTTCCTGTATTGATATTAACAAAAGATCTTTTTATATACAATAATAGTATTGTAGCGGGTATAGTTTAGTGGTAAAAGTGCGATTCATTCTATCGACCCCTTAATAGTAATAGTTAAGGGGTCCCTTCCGTGATTCATATCACGATCAAAAACTTTATTTCTTACTTAAATGTATTTAATCCTTTATACCTCTCAAGGAGAAATTTGAGGAATAATATACATTATCATAATTTGTATACAATTTAGAATTGATTCTAAAATTATGAAACATAAGTTTTTGCAATTGGATCCAGAATCCCAATTTTTGAACATAAGTAAAGAATCTAGGGAGAAAGATATATAAAATTCGTTTCCAATCGTAACTAAATATTCCAATTTTTTTATTATTTGTTTTGTATAGGAGAGATTGAAGCAAAATAGCTATGAAATGATTTTTTTAGTTTACTAGAAACATCAACATATTTTTTTAGCTCGACGGAAATTTTATTCTTTTCCTAAAGATTCTCTCAAATAGAAATAGAGAACGAAGTAACTAGAAAAAAAGAGATTGTTTGAATACTCCTTTTCTATAGGGATCATCTAAAAAGCAACGTTAATTGTATTCATACCGAAAGGCTGGCATAGATGTTATGGATTATTTTTTCATGTATTCCATTTATCTCTTAAATTATTCTGTAAAGGAGCTGAATGAAACAAAAGTTTCACGTTCAGTTTTGAATTAGAGACGTTCATTCATAAACGTCGACTATAACCCTTAGCCTTCCAAGCTAACGATGCGGGTTCGATTCCCGCTACCCGCTTATATTCTATTTTTTATTTAGTAAATTTCTTCATTTAGTTTTAGTATAGAATTCTTTTTTCTTTCCCTTTTCACGAAATTTTCATGAAAAGGGAAAGAAAAAAAGAAAAGCATCCATTGTCTAATGGATAGGACATAGGTCTTCTAAATCTTTGGTATAGGTTCGAATCCTATTGGATGCAAATTGATTACATATTGAATTGATTGCAATTGCATATAAATTAATTGAATTCGTATATTTCTAAAAATATATTGTGAATTTATTATCTTTATGATTCTTTTTTTTAAGAGACTAATGATAGAAATTTTTTAACGGTACGAAAATTTTAATCAATTTTTTCTACTTGTTTTTGAAGTAAAAAGAGTTCCATCTGTTCCTGAATAGCTTCCTTCAAAATGGCTTCTGCTTCCCCAATGAATGCCTTGGTAGAAGATATGATTTTGTTGAATTTAGGTTTATTCGTTTTTAAATAAGCCCGTAACTCAAGGAGAAATTTCCTTACCTGTTCAATTTCTAATGAATCAAGATAATCGTTTGTTCCAGTATAAATAGTTATTATCTGTTCTTCCATAGTAAGAGGAGATGATTGGGATTGTTTAAGCAACTCGCGCAATCGTTGACCTCTTGCCAATTGATTTGGCGTGGCTTTATTGAGATCTGAAGAGAATTGTGCAAAAGCTTCTAATTCTACGAATTGTGCCAATTCCAATTTTAATTTACCAGCTACTTGTTTCATGGCTTTTATTTGAGCCGCCGATCCAACTCTGGAAACGGAAATACCCACATTAATTGCGGGTCTGATCCCAACATTGAATAAATCGGAAGATAAGAATATTTGGCCGTCTGTTGTACCCCAAAATTTTCCCTCCCATATTCTTCAAAATTTGTCAAGATCAATCTTCAAATGGATCAAGGATTGCACAATTCAAAGGCCTCCTAAGCCAGTCAAAATTAGGGTTTTGGTTCCTTCAGTGAATTTGAGGTTTTCAAGGGCTCAATCAAGTCCCATATGCTCATATACATTGTCAAGCACCTACATGTCAAGTTTCAAGACTCACATCATCAAGTTGCACAGTCAAAAGCCCTAGTTGCTCCACAATCAACTATAGGGGTAAAATGGTCATTTGGTAGTCAAAAGTCAAAAATTTTGGTCAACATCTTATTTTTAAGCCCCAATCATCATTTGATCAATTCTTGATCATGATTTCATAAGCATGGCTCAAATATCATCAAGATGCAAAAGTTTCCATTTTTGGACAGTTAAAAAGTCAACTGTAACTTGACCAAGGCATAACTTTTTCATGGTTTATCAGAAAAATCCCATCCAATGCTCATTTTGAAGGGGATGACATTTACTACAACTCATCTTCACATTCCAAGTCCAAGAAATGCTCCCACAAAAAGTTATCAATTTCTACATTATAGGTCATTTTCAAAAGTCAACAAAAATGCACTTTAAGTCAAAAGACCATAACTTGAGATTGGTAGATCCAAATGACATGGGACCAAAGGCATTGGTTAGAGGACTTCAAGACCTTTCCAAAATGTCAAAGAACATGTTCATATGATCAAAATTGATCAAGATATGCATTGGAAAAGTTGGGAAATTTTTGTGAAATGGCAAAAGTCAACTATCCTTAAAACTTCAATTTTTGATAAAAGGGCCCACTTTCTTCCACTTGATTCAGCCTAGTCATGCCATACACGTGTCCCATGATTAATTTCAAGATCAAACATTTATTTTTCTATTTTATTTAATTTTTATTGATTTAATATATTTTAAATCCATAATAATTCAAATAAAATCAGAAAATTAATGGAATGACATCTTGGTGACTTGAATGGCTTTCATGTGTCATATGCCAGCTCACAAATTCGTGCCAAGCCATTTTGAGCATAAAATCCAAGTTTTGCTCCAAGTATGGAATATTCTTCAATGGTGTTAAAACAAGAATCCAAAACTTAATTGCACAAGGTTAAGGCTCATCATATCACTTAATTCTCTATCATACCTACATATGCAAGCAGTACAAACCTCATTCACGACCTAGATAGTGCACAAACGGCCAGAGCAAAAGTAAAAAAATTGTCAAAAAGTGTGAGATCAAAGACATAGTTGCAGACATTTCCAAATCAAACTAAGCACGTGGCCCTCTTCCTTGCCATCCCCTGAAGCCAACACGACTCTTGCCAAGGCTTAAGACTCTCTAAACAGCGCTGTAAGTATTCACGAAATCACCTCTGAACGTAGAATCACGTTTCTCCATTCTTGCACTTTTTCTTGAAAATATTAGCATATTCACACTCCTTGCTTGATTTCCAATGTACCTGCTATATTCAATTTCATTTTTAGGCTTCGTATGACAATACCCGTGCCTAGGGTTTGTTTGCTTCGTTTTTAGGTATTTTATCTACAGGTGAAATTGGGATAAACCATAAGCATAGACATGATCAGGGGACATGGACGAACACAACCATGGGCTTGGATGGCGTTTTTGAAGCCTAAGGATGATTTTAGGAAAGGGCCTATGGAACTTCCTACAGATAAAAATCCACAGGTAACTGAACCAGAGATTTGGAGAAGACGACCACATGTCGTTCTCCCATTCGTCCCTTTAAACGATCGCGCGTCTTTTTTATATTTTTTAAGCATAGGCGTTGGTTTACAAATATAATATCCACTTATTATTATTATCTCAATTGAACACGTAGCTCAGCTGGCTAAGGCGTACAGGCATTGTCCCTTGGGACCTGGGTTCGAATCCCAGGTCCCCCATAATTTCCATGTATTTTCTCTTTACATACTTATGTGCAGGTTCCCAAAGAAGGTGTATCATGCACCTCACATCCAAGCGCGCCAAGTGGCCTTTCTCACAGATCTGAAGGCCAAGAGAGGATGACCACCATACACCTTGGTCAAAGCACACGCAGCCAATTGCAAAAAGTCAACAAGGCTTGAGATAATGGGCCTCACAATTCCAGATTTCACCCCTATTCTGGGCCCAAACCCCCTTGGTTTTGTTATTCTTTTTTATTTTTCTTTTCTTTTATAATTCCTTTTTATTAATTATTAGTATTATTATTAGTTAATTAACCTTTTCACAATAAAAAATCAAAAAAACTAACATTATTATTATTTATTTATTTCATATTATTTTTTTTGTAAATAAATTATAATTAATTAATTAGTTTAATTAGGCAACTTTAATCTTTTTCTTAATAACTAAAATAAATTTAGAATTAGGGTTTTTCTTTTGACTTTTAATTCCTTATTTTTATTTTGTCATTAAAAACATAAAAAACACAAAAAAACATTTTTTAATGAATTAATTAATTAGTGATTAGGCTTAATTTCATTAATTGCAAAAAAGGACAAAACTCAATTCTTCTCTCAAAAAAAGGGGTCAAAACCCTAAGGACGTCCCGATTCATTCTTTCACGCGTATATTATTTTTAACTCGTTATTTTGTTTACTTATGTATTTTCTCCGAAAATGTAATAATTAATTAGGTTTTATCGCTTTATTTACTTTTCTCACACTTTATTTCCAAACGGGTTTTTGTTTTTGGCGATGCATAGACCCGCGCCTTGTAATAGCTAAATTTACCTTTCCGCACTTTATTTCCTGCAAATCATTTAACCGTTAATATGCCTGCAAGAATGTATGAAAAATAAAATCAATCTGTAGCTCACAAATAACATGTACAAGATAATATAACATGAAACCAACACACAAGCACATGCCACTCCTAGGGTACGCCTCACTGGTTGCCTCGACGTGGTCGTCAAGTATAGGGTGTCTTAGAGGTCGCCCTCCTATCTAAGATCCAGTTGCCTCGAAACGGTTGCCTCGGATAAAAAAGGATATAGGACATTAGGGTTACTTCTAAGGTGTCCTACTATTGCTTCGGTGATCACATATGTCCCTTATAATCGAATTGACCCGAATAACTCCAACGATGGTGCTGCCTACCTCTCAATGGTGGGATAGCACTATCTAAAGGACTCTTACACAGCCTAATTCCTTAGAGTAGGTAGATCTCATGGGTACTTGCTCTTTCAAACAAACAAAACATCTTTTCACACTGACACTTTCAAAAGTTTTCAAACAAATTTTTCATACACTCTTGAGGACAGATACAAGAGTTACTTAGAAATTTTTTCAAACGAAACTTTTTTTCAAAATCCACACACACTTGAAAAGCAAACAATTTTGAAAACATAAGAGCAAGTACCTAAGAGCCCGTGGATAACCACGGATAGAAAGGATGCTAACACCTTCCCTTTCTATAAATCTACCTCCCGAACTGAGAAATATCTCGAATAAGGAATTTTGCTGTGCTTTTGTCCTTTCCATATTGGAGAATATAAAAGACGGTGGCGACTCTTGCTTACCGCGACATTTTGCGAAACCAGCTTAAAAAACAGTCAGTTCTATTTCCACCAATCACAAAACTGGCGACTCTGCTGGGGAATTATTCATAAAAGTGAGGTGTACCTTAGGATTAGACCACTCTTATGTTTTCAATTGCCTGTTTTGATTGCTTTAATATTGTGGGCCTGTTTTGCGAGTTTCATAGATCCTAACCCGGATCTGGGGGAAACCTTTTAGGTAGCAACAAACTGTGAGGGAACTGTGCGGGGTATATCGACACGGTTGAAGCAGTTGCTACGTTGATGTGGCACTTTGGTGAGTACCGGTAACCCTTGATTCAAGTCAAGGAGAGTACGGGGCCACCGCGTGGTGTCGTGAAGCATCAACTGACCTTAGGAACCTTACTTGACCATCCTAGCCTCTTTAGGGTAGTGAGATGACCGACTTTGGTGCAGTCTGAAGTTGGTAGATACTCGATACTACACTCATTGAGGGTTGTTTTCTTGGAATATTTTGATCGCCAGTTCAGTGGCTAAATCAAAACAATGAACACAGAAAACAACCCAATGATATTGAGATCCTTAGAACCCGATTACTTTTGATAAGACAGGTTTTGAGCCCACCAACTTCAAGAGGGTAGTACCTAGACCCCATGCTGGCCTAAACTCTAAGGGTTGTCTGGTGTGACTTGTGTGCCTTATCATGTTTGCTTTTTGTGAATACTTGTGGTGTGTCCTTATCATAACATCATAGCATTATACAGCATCATATGCATTTACTAACCACTTCAAGGGTTAGAATCTTCATCTTTGTTCTTGTTTTGTAGGACATGGAAACTATCCGCAGAAAGACAATTCAGGTCAACCTTGTAAGGGTCCCTCCTCATCTTAAGGAGCTTACATCCAGGATTCCCGAGAACTCTTCCTTCAGTGAGAGGCATGGTAGACTCATCAGCTTGGTTAACACCAACATTGAAGAAGATATGATAAAAGTTCTCTTCCAGTTCTTTGACCCTTTGCACCACTGCTTTACTTTCCCAGAATATCAATTGGTGCCTACTTTGAAAGAGTTTTCTCAGCTTCTGAAGGTTCCCATTCTCAGTCAACTACCCTACAACGGTACGGAAAAGAAACCAAAACTTGAAGAGGTTGCTAAAGCATTATGCCTACAACCATCTGACATCAAGGGACATTGGGAAGTTAGAAGTGGTATCAAAGGGTTCTTGGCAAAGTTCCTGTTTGAGAAGGCCCAAGAATGTTGGAACTCCCTTGACCTACAAGCCTTTGAAGAAGTTGTGGCTCTCCTTGTCTATGGGTTGGTGTTGTTCCCGAATTCAGATCAGCTTATAGATATCAATGCTG